AGCAATCCAAGTGAAGTTAAGTGAAAACTTTGTGAAAATGGACCAAATACCCGAAAAGAAAAAGACTTTTCAAGATCTGAAAGTAGTAGTGCCACAAAGAAGTGAAGAAAGAAAAATTCTAGAAGCAAAAAGACCCTCCAAGGGACTGACCAAGACTGAAAAAGTGGATCAGTCCAGACTGGACCAAATTTTGGAAAAGGTCAAAAGGTCTTTGCAGCAAGATAAAGAGACCATGGAGGCCAAAAAGGCGAAACTAATGAAGCCAGAAGAAGACCCAAATCTAAAGAAAAAGGCGAAAGCCTCAGCCTTGAGGAAAGCTGCGGCCAGGATGACTCAGAGGGTAAGCAAAAGTACCAGAGTGAGAATCTGTTAAAGAAAAGGGGGAAGGAAAGATACCAAAAAAAATTGGTGAATCTGTTACAGAATTTGCCAAAGAAAATGCCTAAAGAGATTGTGGCTTTCCCTGTGAGCCAGGCAGGCCCATCCAACCAGAGGGCATTCCCCGACTCCACCATGGAGACATGTGTGTTCTCCAATCACATTAAAAAAATGGTAGAAGAGAAAGGAAACCTGGCCTTCCCTAGGGAAGAGCCAGGTTCCCTAATGTGTTTCCCCATCACATGCAGAAAAATGGTGGAAGACCCCGAGCCTATTCTGGAGGAGGAGTGGTTCGCACACCACCCCATGACAGCTGGAGACTACATGAATCTGCCCAGCACCTCCCAGATCAGGCAGGAACATGAGAAAAATCTGGATTTCCTACCAGCCGAACTGAGACAGCACCAAGCAGCCCAGGATTTCATGCAACCTCTAGTCACAAGAGAATTCCTGTCAAGTGACAGTGACACAGAAAGCGAGAATGAGAGTGCAGAGAAGAAAGAAGAAAGTGCTAGTGAAATAGCCAAAAGACTGATAGAAGAAATGAAACTGACAGACTCAGAGTCAGAAGATGAAGAAAAGATACAAGAGAAAAGTGAGATGGATGCAGAGGTTGACATGCTCGAGGCGGAAATAAACAAAATAGATGTAGACATGAAGACACCAGAAGAAGTAGACATGGAACTAGAGGAAATGGATAA